TCTCTTGATGGCGATCAAGAGCAAGACTGCGAGGCATCTTGCTCTTCGTCAGCCCATGAGTCTGAGTATGTAAATGACGATGAATCTATGAATGTCTTCAAGAAGAATGCCTTCAACAGTAAGGGACCGAGGACCACACTAACATACTGTTGCAGAATATGCATGATGCAGGTCCACTTGCTGTGCTTGAGCTTGTCAAGCTTAAGTCTAGCTTTGGCTGCAGCATGTGGATCAGCATATTGTTTGATCAAGAGTTCCTCGAGTGCGGCTATAGGCGTAGCCTTCAACCATTTGTTCAGGTCTATTCTTTTATAGCCTGATTGTACAACTTGGACTTCTAAGAAGCCCCTTACGGCGGGTTCCACATTGGTCCCTAGGAGCGACGACTGAGTCACTGGGGGTGTCCCCAACACATCAAAATAGGATCGCATGGAGTTGATCCAAGATTTGATGTCGTCTTTTCCGTCATACTTAGACGGAATATGTGCTGCCTTCCTGTCCACATAGGGAAAGCTGCAGCTAGGACCAACGATCGCTGGGTCCGAATTTGGGGCTGCAACAGTTCTAGAATGCCCTCCATTGCCACTTGCTACTGCAGCAGCAGCAGCGGGGTTTGGACCTGTTGCACATCCGGTTAGGCTGTTGGCCACGCTCAAAGAAGAAGAAGAAGAAGAAGAAGAAGAAGAAGAAGAAGAAGAAGAAGAAGAAGAAGAAGAAGAAGAAGAAGAAGAAGAAGAAGAAGAAGATGATATAGTTGGAGGGGCAAGAACGAACTGACACACAGCACTAGAAGCAGGGTAAGCAGACGACAGGGCACCTTGGGCCGGCTGCATGTTAGCGAAGTGTTGCAGCTGGTTGCGGTCCTTCTACTAAGGCCCGGAGGAGTGGGACAGTCTTCTCTTCCAACTCAGCATCAGTTAACGTGGGCACAGTACTGAAGACGGCTTCATGAGCCTTTACTTTGTCTCCCCTCTCCTTTCCTTCTCCTCCTCTTCCCTCTTCAATGCTTTTTCATAAAAGAACAAGTACTGCGTTTGTTCTGCCTCAGAGAAAGCGTCCATTTGCAGCTTCCATTCTGCTGCATATGCCATGATGGAGGATGAGGGTGTCAATAGTTCTCTCAAGAGGGGTCCGTACTTCCTCACATTTCTAGGACGGACACTCCTCTTCCCTCTCCTTACTCCCTCAAGGGCAACACTCAGAAGCTTCTCTCTTCTCTCTTTCTCTCTCGATTGCGATCGTGTAGACGCAGGCATTTAACGAACCCAGTAACAGAAACAACTTGAAAGCAATTAGAAGAGAAGGTAGAACTCCTAGCCAGAGCGGCAATTCATTTGGACTAGAGAGCAGTCAAAACAAAAAAATAAAGATAAGAGAGATCTGATTTCGCCACACAGTCTGGTCCGACTACGTATGAGGTCCTCTCAAGCCTAGCTGGGCTCAGCTCCGTGGAGACACAACAAATCAAATTCAAAGTGTACTACGTAAATGCAAGAGAGATTTGAGTGGTGCCCAAGGTGCGAGTCAGGCGGCGGATCGTGCGGTAAAGTCCAATAAAACGTCTCAACTGAGATCCCCTCAGCAGCGAGTGTCCTGGTCCGAAAGCATAAACTCCGAGTCCCAATCAATGGCAATCATATAGAGCAAGGTAACTGACGTCAACAGATTTGGGCCTGAGGGGCCCTTCTTGTTTGGGCCCGGTCCTACTAAGCCCAAATGGTCCCAGTGGATTCAGAACCGGGTCTCAACCAACAAGAGTTCCACAAAGACCTACTCTCTGCCCATACCAAACTGAAAAAGGAAATTCAGCCCCAGAAAGAACCTACAGACTACAACCGTTCAGAATGAAATAAATAAAGCACTGTAGAAAGATATAGCATGGCACGCAAGACACTCCATTCATTCACTCATCAGGTGAGTAAGCAGTTCACACACCTCACACACGATCAAGATTATGGAGGATGGAAGAAGAACCCAGAATACCCCAGCAGGCAGTCAATTCCACGCACACACACATGGGCACCTTGGCGGCACGACACTTACCTGAGTGGCCGGGCTCTTGAGACGAAAGAAACTCACCCCCCTCTCACGTAGTCCTCCTGACCCAATTAGCATCCTCTACACTAGTGTCCTATCATCTAGGAGGGTCAACATCTACCCCAAAGTACAAAGACGGATCCCCCGTCGATGTTGAAGATCAAAGTAGCAACTTGCAGTCCGTAGGTGCAGTTATGGCTGCCACCCTCAAGCTCGCCTAACTTGAGGGGAGCCCTAAAGTCACTCCTCACCTTCCTTGAAGTCCAGATTCAAGTTGTAGGTGCCTTCACTGTTGCCTCTCAATGCATCACGAAGTCCCAACTTGTGTCTCGCCACCACAAACATGCACTCAAACAACCTGGCCGGGTCTAGTGTCGACCCTACACGGCCCTGCCAGGTGGGAGCAGCTTCCCTTCACCACGCTGCCCCACTTAACCCTAACTTCCAGCCCTAACCCTAAGTGGTTAGCCCTTACCACTAGGGTTAGGGTTAAGGCGGCAAAGTCAACTCTCGCCAGCAAGTAGAATCCGCTCTGATACCAATGTTACGATCCTGGCCAGTTTCAAAGTATACATTCATCAGAAAGCACAATGCCGTCCAATTGCAAAAAGAAATGAATGAACTTGAGAGGAGAGAGAGGGAAAGAAGAAGAAGAAGAAGTAAGATAGAAGAAGAAGATGATGTACTCCAGCATAGGCCAATGATAAGGCTCTTCTTCTTCGCCAACCAATCTCCTCCTCCTTATCTCTTCCCCTCTTATTCAAACAAGAAATAACAATAATAATGTTGAATGGCTAAACCAGAATCAATGTCCAAATCCCACTTCTACTGCAGGCATAACATGAGGTCCACCATAGCCATGGCCACCCTTCCTCTTCCTCTACACGCAGGCCGAGGCTATGGCGGACTACCGAGGGCTCTACCCTCCTGTCCAAAGGACAACCCAAAGCAGCTATGTCGCTGCCCTTCTGCCCCAAGGTCAACACCAGGCAGCTATGCCGCTGCCCACTCAACCGCCATGCCTGACTCTGTCCCGAGCTTCCTTGATGCGGCACTACCCCAACTGGGCCCTTCCAGATGCAGTGCCTAACAAGGTGATGAAGATGGTGTCCACCATACCTCACCACTCTCCTCCTTGTTCCCCTTCTCCCTCCTCCTCCTACCGGTAAAGCTCCACCATAGCCAAGGTGGAAGCTCCCGGCTTCTTCCTCCCAGCAGCGCTGTAGTACCCAGCGCTACTCCAGCCAGCGCTCCAGCAGCGTGTTGCCAAACTTGCAGACTGAAGAATGAGGCCGAGCTCTTCCGTCGGCCTCTTGATATAGCGGCCTGCTTGCATCCTGGGCGGTGACTTCCAGGCCGCTCGGCCTCCCAAGCAACCGGTACCTCCTCCCTTTCGGAGGGAAACATCATTGCAGACTCTGATATTGCCCGTACAGNGCAACCGGTACCTCCTCCCTTTCGGAGGGAAACATCATTGCAGACTCTGATATTGCCCGTACAGGCTCTAGACTCAGACTGGATGGACTGGTACCAGCCTAGACCTAGCCTACCGCTACTGGGCCTCTAAAAATGCCAACTTTGTCTTCTTCTGCTCAGCCTCAAGTGACCGGCACATCTACTGCTACTGGGTGCGGTACCGGCCTACCTGCTACTTGAGTGTTTTTCCGCTGCTCTAAGCACCGCGGGCCCCTGGCTCTGCTACTTGAGTGTTTTCCCTGCTGCAACCCTCAATGCCACGGCCACAGGTARGTACCGGCCCTACCGGCCTGCCAAACAAGCAAGTACCCTTGCGGGTCACACACACACGCATGCCGACAAGCACTCAGACAGGCACGCAAGTCAACAGGCACGCACACATACAGACTTAGAAAACACAGCAGAATGTGGGAATCTCAGCAAGGCATCCATTCCATCGGCAGAACTTCAGAAATCAGCAGTGTTCTCAGTCTGTGTTATGGCAGGTCATTACAGACCATTTCAATCTGGGTGAAGATCTGTTACATACTCTGGACGATCCGGGTGTAGGGTCGATGACGGCCCAGATCTTCAATTAGTTACATATTACATAAGCCATTTTAATTGTGGAGGGCTGAAATAGGAATGCCATGCAAGCAGTACATAAGCAATTTTAATTTTGGTGGGATGAAAACGGAATGCCATGCAAGAAACTGACAGTACTATAGTAAGACTACAATTGTATTGCTCCATTGTTTTCCCCAACTTCCCCAACTTAACTGCTGATTCAACAAACTGATGTCAGGTGCAGTCATCTAACAAGGACGTTGACATTTAGGAGGATATTTACTAGCCTCTACATCTCTTCTAACAGCATTGGATAACCTCTTGCACGCTTCAGCAATGTTTCGGGCAAGCGCAAGGTTGGCAGAATGCACATAGACAGATATGGTTGTCACTGACCTCAGAAGCTCTTCCACAGACTTTGCTGGAGCATCTGCACTGGCAGACACCTCGAATACCTGGAGACAGAACGCCGAGGTTGACAAATGAAACTCAGAAACACGTGCATTGAAAAGGTGCATGATCAATTGAAAAGCAAATCGTTGTAAGGAGGGGAGGTAGAACGACAAATGACTGGGCGGCCCCATCCCCAATAATCAAACAGAGATATTAAATGCAATGATCCTCTCCGTTCACCACCAATGAGCGCACACAATCTCACACACACCATGCATGAATGAGATCACACGAAGTTCACACTGGAGGCCAGAGAGATGAAGACGAGGTAGTGCAGCTTTAGAATCCCAACAATTTATCATATAAGCAATTAAGAGTTTCAGTCTCAAACGCTCAACAGCGCTAACTCAAGTAACCAGTGTCTTCACTCAGGTAAGTATTCCTCTCAATGCTCTTCTCTCTTCCTCTCTCAGTCTTCTCTCTGTCCACTACCTCCCTGTGTCTTCTCTCCCTACTTGTATGCACTCACACACCTTCTACTACTCAAGGACCAACTCTGAATACACCCACTGCTAACTCTACTAACCCCTCCGATGTCTACTACTAACAACTAGCACTGGTGCAGCTATGGCCGCCTTCCCTCTGCCAGCACTGGGCAGTTATCGCTGCTCCCTCTCTCTCCCTCTACTAGTGCAGCTCCCTGGCTCAGCGCTTCGCCGCTCACAATAGCGCACATGTGCACCAGCACTTCCACACTCCATGTGAATGAGCAATCTGCCCCAAACGAGGAGGCTGGCCAGTCCTTTTTTTTTTTTTTTTTTTTTTTTTTTTTTAAATTCGTTTGCCGAGAGTTCTAAAAATTTGGACCATTTCTCGATTTATGCGTGTCATCCTTGCGCAGGGGCCATGCTAATCTTCTCTGTATCGTTCCAATTTTAACGGATGTCCCGAAGGACGCTGGCCAGTCCTTATATTGTCTTGGACCGAACTTCAACTCGTGCCAGCCTCTGCCTCTTGGGGCTTGACTTGGTTTTGGTACCACATCCCCACCGTCTGTTTGCTTTCGAATGTCAGGGCCTGGTACCTTTCCCGAATTTTCATTGGTGTGCCTGTGAGTCACGACTTTTCGATTATGGCACATGGCTTTTGACTGTGGTTTGTGACTCCTGCCTCTGGGACACGACTTTTGCCTGTGGAAGTGTCTTTTGCCGGTGAGATGTGACTTTCCAATATGACTTTTCATTATGAGGCGTGATTTTTGCCCCTGGGATGTGACTGTTTGCCAGATGCCTGTTGGACTTGACTGCAAAGGTACCCGACTGTGGCTTTTCTGAAACTGACCGTCTTGGCCTTTCTTGGCCCAGGCCTATGACCGTGAAACTCGAATTTGGGGTCTGAATCGTGGAAGGCCTTTCATAAAAACCATCACCCGAAGTGATGAAAGCGGAAGAAGAGCAGTGCATTGACAATGAAACCTCTCATATCAAGCATATCTTTGTCGTTCAGCCAAACAGTTCTGACTGCGGATATGATCAAGGAATCCTGTATGATCCTGTTTGGTAGGTCCTTCCACTCCCTGCATCTGAGTGTTGGCTTCCCACCGTGCTACCATAAATCTTCATTGTTGAGATCACCAGGATGGAATGCAGCTGTTCGAGGATGTGAAAGTGTGACTTACAGCTGCAGCCAATGACATACCTTGATTACCTGATGCCCATGCGTTGACAACATCTCAAAAACAAACAAATGAAATTGTAATATTAGTGTCTATAATTGCCATTGATAGAGGCAGAATATTGGGCGAGCGCGTCGGATCTCTGGGACTCCCTCTTCTTGACTCCCCTCCCTGAACACCCCATCCAACTCCTATGGACTAACATCCCAGCTCAATTCCACAAGACAGAGGAAACGTGGTTCGGAATGATCAGAAAGGTAACAATGTGGTCAATCTGGAAGGAAAGGTGCTGCAGAACCATTCAGTGACTCGCAACTCCAAGGGAGAAGGTCTGGGCGAGACAAGGACCTTGATTCAGGCAGAGATTCTTTGTAAGTGGCATAAGACGAGACACTCCATGCCAGACGACAAAGAGCAACAGAGAAGAATCAAGGAAAAATTCACTAAGGTGTGGCTCGCAGGGGGCAAAGTAGCAGACGGGAAGGAGCCTAAATCAACGGACTTGAGTTAGTCCGTCGCTACTCAAGTCCGCCGCACACTCAATTTGCATTCTCTCAGGTCGACTTCTATATTACAGTCACCCGCATAGGAGTGGTCCTCAACCTGCACCTGGTCATGCACATCCGAGCAGTTGCTACCTCCATACCACTTGTGAAGGACACTCATCTAGGTTGCCGGGGTGCACGTGAGAGGTCTAAGGCCTCGAGCTGGACTACCTCCCTCATAAGGGATTGCCAGTCAGTAAATTTAGACCTCTGGAGACCTAGCCGGCGAATGTAATCTTCAAGGATCTCGGCACGAACACAATCCAAACTCATGGTAACATTCATCTCAAGGCCAGGAGTGGTGAATAATCTATTGCACTTTTGCTCCAAGTCCTTCATTGTGCCCGTCCACTGTTTCCCTCTCATAACCAAGATTTTATTCCTGGACTTCAGGGCAACATGTTATCTTCATACCGTTTAATCAATAGTTTTCTCTAGCGGTCACAGGGTTGGTTTCCAGCCACTTAGCAAGGTAAAGTCGGGCATAGCCTGCATTAGTAGCCATAACCTCCATGAAGTTCACGACAGGGGGCTCCAAGTGGGTACCCAAAATTACGGATCTGTCAGATTCCTATGTTCGGGATACCTTGAAGTATGCTCTCATTTGAGCACACCAAGAGGTCACATCGGTTTTCCCATCATATCGGGGAGGAAGCTGTGCCACCCTTTTGTCAACTTGCGAGTGCTGAAAGAGGGACCAGCCATTGCGGATCCTTCACTCGGCGTGCAGCAGTTGTAGAATTTTGGTGCTAGCTGCTGCTACTGCAGTCCCAGAATCTGCAGCTGCTGCAGTTCCAGCTTGATTGATAAATAAATCCATAGAGGTAGAGGAGTAGTGAGAGGCGTTAGTGGTGTGGACACCAACAGCATTTGGATTAGGAGGAAAGGAAAGGGGATGGTTTGCCACAGCCTGCTGCAAATCTGCAAATTTCTGCAGCTGGTCACCGTGCTCCTTAGCCATCTCTACCATGCCATCCCGCAGCTGTTGCACTTGGTCAAACAACCGGGATGCCACGTTTGGATGGTCGTCGATGGCCCGGACTTCCACTAAGGCTCTAAAGAGTGGGGCCATCTTCTTTTTTATTTCTTCATCGGTTGGTGCAGGACCAACCCTAAAGATGGCCTCATGGGCAGCAAGAGCATTTTTCCTCCTGCTCTCCTTCTCCTTCTTCACAACTTTCTCATAGAGTCGTTCATAAAGTTGTTGGTCCTCTTCATCTACTGCAGCCTCCTTCAGAGCCTTCAATTGCTCTGAAGTCATTGCCAGTGCCATGTTAGTCCTACTGGACCTTTCAGCTGGTAAACCAGAAAAAGATTCAATAAGTCTCTCAAGGTGAGTGCTCTCCCTCCTTTTCCTTGTATGAACACTCCTTTTCCCAGTCCTCACCGTCGCAAGAAAAGCTCTTTCTTTTTCCCTTCTCTCTCTCTCTCTCTCTCTCTCTCTCTCTCTCTCTCTCTCTCTCTCTCTCTCTCTCTCTCTTTCTTTTTTTCCCTTCTTTTTTCCCTTCTTCTGAGGTCGTGTCTCTATGGGCATTGATATAAACTCAAATGAAGAATCAGATAAGCAAAAGAAGAAAAGATAGAACTCCTAGTTGGAGCCACAATTCATTTGGACTGGAGAATGGCAAACAACAACAACAATAAATCGCCAATACAGGTTTGATCCAATGACCCAGTCCGGTCAGATCACTCATGAGATCCACTCTTCCCTGATCTAACGACGATCAGAAAAAAGGACAGATGGATCAAATTCAGGGAATGATACATATGAGGTAATGAAGATTCAAGGGCGTAAGACCGTTGCGAGGCAAGCGCCGAGAGTAGTGTGAGGATTTGCAGAAGAACACGGTCAAGATCCACTTGAAAGTTGAAAATGAATGTCCCATCCTAGGGTGCCTCGCCTTCCAGCAAGTTAGAGGATTGCCTGTAGCGGCCTCTAGGTAGGCAGGCAACCCTTTTTTTTTTTTTTTTTTTTTTTTTTTTTTAAACCGGCTGAGACCGCTAGTGGTGTTGCTATGAGCAGCCACCACTAACAGCCCAGCTACTGGCTCCAGTCTATTGGTGGGGAGCTGCACCTACTGGAAAACGGGTCCAGCGTCCCTCATACAAATGTTACCGATACATGATTCGAAGAAACAGGAAGTATGGAGAAAAGGATTACTGCCTCTTCAGCCAGAAATTGGCCGCCAGATGCGAGTGGTATTGCTAGCAGTACTACCTCCTATAGCCCAATCTGATATAATTGTCCAGATGCTTCTCATAAAATTCCTTCCACTATTCCCTTGACATTCTTGTAGGAACTTCTGCAGTAGCCTTTTTTACAGAATCAAAACTACATAGAAGAGACCATCAAACCATTTCTTCCTGCTCAAGCCCAAACCAGCTCAGAGGAACCAAGCTTAAGGAGGAGGGAGGGAAGGGATCTGGGAATTCTGCAATGGGGCGAAGGGGTACAGCTGGGTCAACATTTGTCCACTCGTGAAAACTTAAGCGGTACTCCTTCTGGACTTCTTTCATTCGTCCATCCAGCTCTTCTCCCCTGTCTCTGGTCCATTTAATCTCCCCTATCTTGCCCCCTTGACCCCCCCCTAGCCAAGCGCCACTGAATTGTTGAATGTGTTGTAGGATGTTTTTTTTAGAGGATAGGAATTTAGTCTTTTCTTTTACTTTATCCCATTGAGCTGAGATATCTGTCTGCACTTGCAGTTTGATTGATTCTGTAAAGTCTGGGCTTTCCAGCCTTGCTCCCTCCATTTCATAAGTGCATCGACGCCTCCATAGGGCCCAAAAAATTGCTCGTCTTCCGATTACAAATAAAATATGTGAAAATCCATCGATCTGATCGGGAGACCAAGTCTCACATAATAGAGCTTTCCACTTCCAAAGCCAAATTTGAGATATGTTGACAGTGCTCCAGATCCTGTCCCACCACCGCCACAACCAAACTGCACCTGGACATTGCAGAAAGATGTGTTCAATGGTTTTCGGAATTTTCCTAGAAGAAAAAGCTGAGCAGCAAAGTTTACACCAAGGTAATGCAGCACCCCTCTGCTCTAGAGAGGTTCTATCAATGAGCCAATCATTAGTAGGGAGACATGGATGGTCTGTCTGCCATTGCAATGAAGCGACTTTGGCCGGCTTAATCTTTATTGTTTTGAACCAAACTATGCATCCCAATCCTACCTCTGAGGTACTGAGAATAAAAGACAAGCACATATGGACCATACTCGGCTGCAACCAATTTCAGAATGAAAAGATGAAACCACTGTAGAAGGATAAGCAATGCAAAACAAGATACTCGCATCCATCCATCCATCATGTGAGAGAGTAGTCCACAAATGCATGCACATCATCCAAGATCACAGAAAGTAGGAAAAGAAGTCCAGCATATCCCATCAGGCAATGCAGCGTCATGCACTCATCCATGGGCATCCCCTTGTTACACGGCGCTTACCTGTGTGACCCCATTAGCAACCTCTACTCTAGTGTACCCAGTAATTCAGTAGGATCTACTATACACCAATGTACACCGCCATGTCCCATGTCGATGTTGAAGACCAATGAGCAACATGAAGTCATATGGTGCAGCCAATGCTACTTCACCACCAAGTTCGCCCTCTTGGAGAGAAGCCTTGTAGTTGCTCACTGTCCGCCTCAAGCTTCGAGTTCAGGTGTGAGTCACCACTCACTCTTACCTCCCTCAATACACCTGACACTGCCGCCTCTTGTGTCTCGCCACCCCATACATCCACTTGGTCAACCTGGTCAGGGTCAATGTCGACCCTACATGCCCTGAACCACCCACCCCCCACATACCTCGCTACCCCACTTCCAACCTAAGCCTGCCCTAGTCAGAGATTAATTGGCCTAATCAACTCGGATTAGGGTTATGGCAACAAGACATCCTCTCGCAAGCAAGTAACCCTCCGATACCAACTGTTATGATCCTGGCTATCTTAAAGTGCAATAACTCAATGAAAGACAATGTTGTTCAATTGCAACTGAAATGGAAAAGCTTGGAAAGAGAAATAGACAAAGGAAGAAGAAGAAATAAGGATAGAAGAAGAAGAAGAAGATAAACACCAGCAAAGACCAATGTAAGTCCCCCTTCATCTCGCCACCATTTCCAACCTCCTCCCACTCCCCCAGCTTCTTCGTACAATAATAATAATAACAACAATGAAAGAATGAACCAGAACCAATGTCCGGATCCTCTCCTTACTGCCAGTCACTCAAGAGGTCCACCATACTCATACACCTCCCTCCTTAGTAAAGTTGGTAGCTATGGCGGGCCAACGGAGCAAAGTTCCGACGTTCAAAGGACAACTCAAAGCTAATTAGTCCCTCCTACTGTGGCCACCATGCCTATCACTATCCCGAAGTCTTCCTCGTAGAAGCCAAACCCAACTGGGGCCCGCCCACCAAGGAGATGAAGATGCAGACCACCATAGCCAGGTAAGCACCCCCACCACTCTTCCCCTTGCTCACCTTCTTCCTCCTCCTATTCTTTCTTCCCCCGAGTTTCCTCCTTGGTCCTCTCCACCATAACCAAGGTGGAGCGCCAAACCCACGTTCTTCCTCACCAGCACAACTACACTGAGCGCTCGCCCAAGGAGTGTATCGCCCAACTTGCTATGACGCAAATGAGGAAGAGCTCTTTGCTCTTCTCGAATATATACCAGCCTACTGCCTCTTTGAGCGGTGACTTTCCAGCCGCGTGGCCTCCCAAGATACCGGTACCTTCCCCATTTCCGAGGGAAACATCATCGCAGTCTAATATCCCTCACTGCCGGCCCTAGATTCAGAATAGTGAACCGGCACCCGTAGTAGACTCTTAAGCCTACCGGGCTCTAAAATTCCTTCATCCATCCGTTAAAATTGGAATGATACAGAGAAGATTAGCATGGCCCCTGCACAAGGATGACACACGTAAATCGAGAAATGCTGCCAAAACAAAACAAAAAAAACTCTTCTGAGACAAGGATGCAGAACATGGGTGTTGCAGTCAGTCAACACGAGGGGAAAGGGTTAATAAGGGGGAAGGGTTTAGGGTTTAACGGCTGAACAGAGGGAAGGGGATAGTTAGTAGAGAAAGGAGTAAAGCTGGCGGCCTGCCTCAGGCTGAAGAGACACCCCACCCCTCCCCAGCACACCCCAACCACAAGAATACCATTCAATACCAATCCAACACTACTCCGCTGGACCCGTTTTCCAGCAGGTGCAGCTCGCCGACAATAGATGGGGCCTCCGGGACAGCAAGAAATGATTGCTCATAACAACACTTCTAGCAAGCCAGCGGGAGTTAAAAAAGAAAAAACAAAGCCAATCAGTCTTGCCTTCAATTCATCCATGGCACGGCACAGAATTGAACTGGACAACCTGACATCCGAGCATCCCTAACAGACGGATGTCTTCGCCTGCAACCATGATGCAGTGTCCATGACTACACGCCACCTCTGCAAGGTTGCAAGGACTCATCCCACCCTCCAAGTTCAAGACATCACTTGAAATCCTCTTGCAGGCAAGGACCAAACTTTCTACACACGCCGAGCCCGACAGTGTGACCCCCTGGGAACGCGGCCTCCGCAATTTAGACTCAATTTCCTAGCCAATAAATCAGCCAATACTGGAGGCCTTGAATATTTCCCTTGACTGGCAAGCATCTGGAATGAACAGATAGCTGAGATGCAGTGCAACCTAGGGCCCAGATTTTGCTTCGAAAATGTTGCTGAGGCTAAGCTGACCACAGCTCGACCTGGAAGTCTCTGGAAGAACTTTGATGGCATTGGATGAGCTGGGCTTTGGGATCGATTGTGGACCGTTCAGATTTTGCCTGGGGATAGGCCGTTTGACCCCCGTACTCGTGCACTATCCAGTAAGACCTCTTTCGAACACCAATTTGACCCTTAGGACGGACAATTAGACTCCCAAATTTGGACACATAGACACCTATCCAAGCTCTTTGCGTTTGGAGTTTTATGGCTTGGGCTTGGCCTTCTATGTGACGCTTCCCTGGTTCCCAGCCAAGAACTGTACATCAGCCCTTGTAATTTCAGCCCCTCAATTATAAAAGGAAGGCAAGCTTCCAACTCTTGGCAAAGAGAAAGAATGAGAGCATTGACACCAAGGTGGCCAGCAGCCCACATCAACTTCATTCCCTGGCAACAACAAATTACCGTGCCCACATCTATATCCGTTACCTTGTTTTCTGAGAGTCCTGCAGTTGCTAGCGCTGTCGCAAGTACCTCAGCCACTTGAATCTTCGACACCTGTGGAACCACCACATGCGGGGGAAAGAGGTGGGACTTCAGCAGCTACTTTCAGATAGTCAACCAACCAGCAACAGTGCCCTTTGTCATGTGATGATTATCTCCCATCAGCACAAGTGCTTAAGCCACCAGAACTTCCAAGGCACTGTGCGCCAAAAAAGAACGAACCGGCCCGTGGGCCTCCTTTTGGCTGGCATCGCCAGCCATTTTGCTCCGCCGGCTGAGGTCCGAAAGTTGCAGCAACATGCAAAACGCAACTTCGAAAAAATGGCTGGGAAACATACTGGCGGTCTAACAGGGAACCCCACTTTTCAGCCTACTGGTTAAACCCCCAAGCACTGAAAAGGGCATCTGATATAATTTTTGCTGTTTTTTCCCTTTTTTGAGTTTTTTCCCCTTTCACCCTATTTTATTTTTTGCCAAGGTTTGTATGTGCCATTACTGGTGTTTGTTGGAGCGTTCGAGACGACTGTTTTGGCAAGCCCTGAAAAATCCTGAAAATCCTGAAAAAGTTAGAAAACTGTAAAGGGTGAATTTTGCATGAAAACACAGTTCTGCCTTGTGCTTTTAGGATGTTGTCCAGTCTATGGATTGGTGACAAGTTTGGGTTAAAAGGTGGGCAGTTCTGTTATAACGACCATGAAAAACCCTGAAAAACCCTGAAAATTTAGGGCTCTTTTAACCGCTTCTCAACGCCGGGTCGGTGTGTGGCAGCTTCCATCCTGAGGCTGTCAGGTGGGGGGTTGGCCTCATACCCACATAAAAGATAAATGACAAAAAGACAAAAAAAACAGAAAGGAAATCGCTTAACACTAGTAATGTCAATGTAAGAGACAGTTGGCATTCGAGCTGCAAGGTACGTGCTTGACCCCTTCTTCTAAAAGGGGTTGGCCTCACTCTGATGGAATTTCATTGCTTTTTCGGCCAGATGTCAGTTTGTAATGGTGAGTACTCGTTACATTTCTTTTTTTAAAGAAGAAAAAAGGCAACGGCCTTGAGATATCATCATTGAACTGCAAGGATTATGAGTGGAAACGATATACAGAAATCCAAGTTGCCAAATCACACAGATGTCCAAGTAGTCGTGTACAAGCAGAGAGCAGAAATGCACCGAGTTTCCATCCAAATAAGAGCAATACAATGAAGTAATTAGCCAATTTTCAAGCGCCCCCAGGCCACACCAACAGAGTATCCAAAGTCGCTCCTGACTGTCTGGCGCCCAGCGCCCAGCCTACACTACTCGACTATCCTACCTACATCAGCATTCTCGCAACAGGCTCACTCCGACTCTCGAAGACCAATGTACATGACGTCAACACCACAGCCGGCCTCTCCCATGTACCATATACGTATCTCATCTCCCCTCACCAGACCCTGTCCACCCACACTCGCCTCCTTCCTGAAGACCACCGATCGCCCTCTCACCCCCTAGCGCCCTGCAGCCCGGCTATGGCTTCTTGCGCACCGCTGCCCAGCAGCGCCCGCACTCACCTTGGCCGCTAACACAGCTTGCAATGTCTCGCGCAGCAACGCAGCAGCGTGACGGCATTGCCTGCGTGGGCCAGAATGCCAGACCCTGTGTTACATGCCCAGTTGGGCGATGTACATATAAACCGAGGATCCACAATGTGATAAAAATGACTGAATGGACAATGCAGTGCAAGTGGAATCTCAACAAGCAATGTACATTCCGATACATACAAACATGGTGCTTTATAGCGCAGGGAAGACTTTAGATACAAGTCCTGACCTGACCGGGACTGACCTCCTTCACGTAGTACAAGATAGCGAAGCAGAATGCTAGAATACTAATGACTAGCCCGATCAATGTTTCAACGCAGACCAAACATACATCATGCTCATCACAAGGTGTGAAGGGGCCCTGCCGCTATACACAGGAAAGAGGCACCAGGTCCAGACATACACAGACGAAGAGGACCACGAAGAAGAGGAAGGGGAAGATGTGAAAGTCGTCAACACCAAGTCTAGTTACAAGTCCCAAAAATAATCCCTCTTCAAAATGTCTGAAGTCCCATGTCGAGTCTGGGATCCAAATGTCACCAAGCTCTCTCTCTCTCTCTCTCTCTCTCTTAGTCTGCTGATGCAGTGAAGTCAGATAGCAAGAGGGTGAGAAGGAGATGGTGGACTGAGAAGAGGAAGAAGAAGAACTCTCTCTCTCATGTGCCAGGAACTAACCTGTGAAGATGGCGCTGTGCTGCAGATACCTTGAAGACGAAGCTGGAGCAATGGCGCTGCAGGTAAGTCCCTCTGGCCTCCGCCCAATCTCTCTCTCTCTAGTACTACTCTAGCTGCTATGGCGCCCAGCGCTGAAAACTACAGCTAACACTACTAGCGCCCAGCGCTGAAGACTACTGCTAACGCTGCTACTACTCCTGCAGCGCTCCTCCAGAGTGCTGCTGCCGAATCCTGAAGACTACTGACTGCCTCATGCCTCCCCATGAAGTGCATGGGAAGTCCCTATGTACTACCTCGGCCTGCCTCCTGACTGCCTCCGACTGCCTGCAGTTGCAGGGCGGGCAGTCCAGGAGGCTGCTCTTGCCAATGCCAAACTGAGTCAGGGTCTGGCGCTGCAGCTGTCGTGGGAACAGGCCAAAAATAGTCTGTTCCTAAAACCCTGGTTTGGTGCCTGAGTTTCAGGCCAGGTCGGTCTGATGAAAGACCGAAAATGGCCCTTCCTTTCAGGCCAAAACGGCTACTGCCATGTTTAGTCTGAAACGACACAGGGTCTGTACGCCCCTGCTTTTCAGGCTTTCGAGCTGAACAGACACGGGGCCTGTAGGCCCTGGTTTTCAGGCTTTCAGCCTGAATTTCAGGATTTCAGCCTGAGGGACGCAGGGCCTGGAAAATGGCCCTCGTGTGCAGGCGCAGCATGTAACACCCCCCCCTCCTTATGAAGTCAAGCCTGGGCGAGGGCGAAGTTGACGATCTGAAGGTGGAACCTGGCAGCGGGTGCGGCGTGGAGCCGAAGAGACCGGCTTGCCTTGCATCTTGCGTTCGTAGCATGCGAGAACGTCTGGAGCTGTTGCTTGAAGTTCCGCACTGGTCAACCAACAGTCAGCTCGGTGTGTGCAGTATGCAAAATGGACCAAGTATTCAGTCGGCCTGTTGCCGTAGCGGCGCTGGGAGATGATATCGCTGACCTCTTGAAAACCGTCCATAGAGGGTGGGTCTTGCAATCGTCACCCGGGAAAATCGTCATGGTCTGCTGGCGTGTAAAGAGTCAACTTGGAGCAATGAAAGACCGGGTAGACGGGCAAGTGGGCGGGCACCTGAATGATGAAGGAAGGTCCTTCGGGTGCATCTCCAGCGGGTGCCACGATCGGCCAGGGCCCCATCCATTTCGGGAGGAGCTTGCGAGAGATGTCTTGTTCAAGGCTGAATTTTGCGGCGGAAACCCAAACGAGGTCGCCGGCGCAGAATGGGCAAGGGAGACGCTGGCGATTGGCCTGCTGGCTCATGCGTTGTTGGGTCTTAGCCATCTGGTCGCGTGCCTTGACAAGAAGCTCTTGCATCCGATGTAAGAAAAGAAGATGGTCTTCGCTCTCGACCGCTCGTGGAATGATGGTGTCCAACGGAGAAGTGACCGGTGAGCCGTGCGCGAATTCGAAGGGTGACATCCCAATAGCCGGGTGGATGGAGGAGTTGTAGGCCAACTCGACATCCGGCAGCCGCTCAACCCAAATCAGGACGGATGAGAGTGCGAAGGAGAACCTGTGCGGTCTGGTGCGCCCTCTCCGTTTGGCCATCGGTCTAGGGGTGGCGAGCTGAATTGGGCTTGAGAGATGAGCCCCATCGTTTGATGAGCGCCAACCAAAAATCGGACATGAACCGAGTGTCGCGGTCGCAGACGATTTCCTTGGGGTAACCCTTGGTTCGAATCCAACCCGCGTAAAGAACCTCGGCCAACTCCAGTGCCTAAGCATGATAGCGGCAAGGCAAAAACATGACGAACTTGGTGAGTCGGTCGACCACCGTGAGAATCCCATCCACTCCAGTCTTGTGCTTGGGGAACGGGTCGGTAATGTCCATGGCAATCGCTTCCCTTCGCCGCAAAGGGACCGGTAATAGTCGTAACTCGCCGTACGGACGATGGTTGCGGGATTTGCAGCGTCGGCAAACCTTGCATGACTCGCAATAGCGTGTGACGTTGCCGAGAAGGCCAGGCCACCAAAATCGCTCGTGAAGTCGGCCAATCGTGCGATTGACTCCAAAGTGTCCGATGGCGGGAGCATTGTGGAACTCGCCAAGAAGCCGTGTACACAAGTGAGGATCACTCGGTACGCAAAGAAGGTCCTTCCCCCGTGTGTGGACAAGCAAGTACCCCTCTTGGATCCGGTAGTGAAAAGGCGACGGATTAGGAGAGGAGCAATTCGCATACTTGTCGCAAAACTCGGGGTCGGCTTGGTAGCCGCGGATGAAGTTATCCCGCAGGTCGTTGTCGATCTCGAAGGTTGAATAGACCGCGGTACAATGATCCGGACGCCGTGAAAGAGCATCCGCAAAACGGTTCGACTTCCCCGGAATGTGATCGAGAAAGAAGTCGAACTAGTCGATGAAAGTCATCCATCGAGCGATGGTGTTGTTGACGGTGTTTTGGGTCTTGTAAAAGACCACTGGATTGTTGTCCGTTACCCATCGGAATTGGCTTCGACCAAGGAGGAAGTGTCGCCACCGCTTGAGCGCGTGGACGAAGGCGGGGAGCTCCTTCTTGCGTGCATCGTCAATGGAGTGCACGACGGGCACTTTCTTGCTGAAATACTCGACCGGGTGCCAGTCCACACCATCGTGTTGCTCGAGGACGGCACCAATGCCATAGTCGGACGCATCCGTAGTGACGCGCGTAGGCAAAAGCGAGTCGTATATGCGCAAGACCTCCACAGATAATAGCGCGACTTTGAGAGCCAAAAATGATTCCCGCGCCTCCTCTCCAAAGTCAAACGGTCGATCCTCGTATTGAAGCTTGGTCAAGTGGGTCGTGA